TTTATTTAAAATGAAAATTTATAAAGAGAAGGCCCAGCACAGTGACCTAGTGGCTAAAGTCTTCATCTTGCACACTCCAGGATCCCATATGGGCACCAATTTTAACCCCGGCCACCCCACTTCCCATCCAGCTCTCTGCTTGTAGCCTGGGAAGGTAGTCAAGGATTGCCCAAAGCCTTGGGACCCTGCACCTGTGTGGGAGATGCGCAAGAAGCTTTGGGGGCTTCTGACTTCAGATTGGCACAGATCCGGCCACTGTGGGCACTTGGGGAGTAAGACTTTGGCCGAAAGATTTTCCTCTCTCTCTCTCCTCCTCTGTATATCTGACTTTCAAATAAAAATAGACTAAGAGAAGTAGAGACACACACACAGAGAAAGATCTTCCATCTGCTAGTTCACTACTCAAGAGGCCACAATGGCTGGAGCTGAGCCAGTCTGAAGCAAGGAGCCAGGAGCTTCTTTTGGATCTTCTAATGGGTGCAGGAATCAAAGACTTCAGCCATCTTCTAATGCTTTCCCAGGCCAGAAGCAGGGAGCTGGATCGGAAATGGAGCAATCAGCACTTAAACCAGCTTACACTTGGAATGTTAGTGCCGGAGGGTAGAGAATTGACCTGCTGAACCACCAAGCAAGCCCCTGCAAAAATTTCTTCATGTGTACTTCCCAAGGCTGATGAGGGGATTAAAAATGGAAGCTTGGTAATATTGGGATTACAAAATAAATGTTCTAGAGATCTGAATAAAAGACTATAGGATGCTATTATTAAGAATTTTATGCAGTGTGCATCTCTACTTTCAAATAAAAAATGGACTCCCAATGAAGCTGTTAAATATAGCTTGACAATAGGATGCTGAATTCTGCCATAAGCTATATGTACAAGAACAGGATACACTTAAATAGCAGAATGATGGACCTTTGGTTTTGAAGGACTGTAATATGCTTATAATACAGGGGAAATCAGTAGGGGGGGGGATTTGAGAAGAGGACAGGGGAAATTCCAGAACCTATAGAACTGTGTCATAAAACACGTACATTTTTAAAAATTAAAAATTCTTTAATTCAGGACCCATTTGTTATGCATGAGGAATGAAAAACAAAAAGAATAGGAGCAGATGCCCTTATGAGCTTATGTGGAATAACATTTTTGTAAGCTACTGACAATTTTTGTAAGGTTTTCATCCTCTCTAGATCAGTGTAAAATCACAAATGAACTAATCTGTGGGTGGGGAGATGTCTAAAACCATATTACTTCAGATCTAGAATGGGACTATGTTTATAAATTATATTTAATGTAATATCAGAAGCATTAGCAGGAAAAATTAGAGAGGAGGAAGAAATAAAGGACATTAATATTGGAAACAGTAAGCCAAGATATCTATGTGTTCAGATGACATGCTATGGTATGTGTAAAAATATAAGCACTTTACCAAAAAAAACTGTTCGAATTGATACACCAAGTCAGTAAACTTGCAGGTTAAAAAAGTTACAAAAGCCAGCTTTTCAAAATATACCAATGATGGAGTCACTGAAAGAGAAACCAAGAAAGAATTCCAAGCCACAAAAGCCACAAATGAATCATATAATCAAATATCCATTCCAAGACATGACAGATATTTGCAATGAAAAAATGCAAAATATCCATGAAAGAGATCAGCAAAGTCATAAAAATGGAAAGGTATTTGTTGTTCACCGAGGGTAAGAATCAATATCATCAAAATGTCTATTCTGTGATTAAAAATGTTTATTCTACCTAAATCCATTTTCAAATTCAATGCAATTGCTATGACATAAAAATACTGCCCCTTATAGAATCAGAAAAATAATCCTAAAATAATATTCAATCACAAAAAACCCAGAATAGCCTAAGTCATCATAAGGGAATCAAGCTAGAGTCATTAGCATACCTGACTTCAAAAAATATTGTAAGACTACAGTGATTAAAGCACAATGATGCTGGCATGATGACAAGCCATATATCTAGGGAACAGAACAGAGAGACCGGAAGTTAATTCACATAATATAGACAACTGATTTTTTAAAATTAAAACTTAGCAGTTTATAATATTCAAGCGAGATTTTACAGAACTTCGTGCATTTTAGGGTAATCAAAACAGTGCTATAACTCTAATAAGCTATATATTAACAATTGAAGAGTAGAAAAGTCTTAGGCAGGTGAGCAGAGAAATCTCTGATAACTTAGTAAGTGAGGAATAGCTGAACTCTGTGTCCTGCCTAGTGAGTTTTGGGAAAAGCCAAAATCGGGAGCCTGACCAGTAAGATACAGGCTGAGCAATTATAGGCCAGCTGACTCTTTCCTTTCTGTTCAAAACTTTTTATATTACTCTCTCTGTGTCTATCTGAGCTAATTTTGGGGCTCCTGTGCAAACCTACTGGTCAGTGCAAGAGAGGATGGGGAGTCAAAGGTTTGGAACTAAGTAAGGACCAGAGAAAGCTCCTCTCCTGATAGACAACTGATTTTTACAAAAGGGCTCAAACTTCTACATTAGAGTAAGAATAATCTCTACAAAAAAGTGATGCTGGAAAAACTAGATGTTTAAATGTAGATGAATGAAATAAGATCCACATACAAAGATCAATTCAAGATCGATCAAAGACTTAAATGTAAGACCTGAGGCTAGGAAGGTACTAGAAGAAAATGTAGGGGAAACACTCCAAGTCATTGGTGCAGGGCGTCGGCTCAGACCCCCAAAGCAAAGGTAATGGGGATGCTGTCTTCGTAGCTCTATGTTTCTGGGGTTGGTTACCTAGAATAACATCATGTCATGTGGTGAGCATATTTACTGGTATAGATCCTGCTGTCACGAACTGAGCTTCCTCCCAAAAAATAGCCAGGAAAGGAGCCATCTCAAAAGTAAATTTTCCTGTATGAAGTCAAGTTCTTAGGTAACTCCATCTCCCGCTAACAGCTGGACTTTGCCTTCAAAAGAGAATTTAAGCCAATTGCATCAATCTATTCCAGAATTATCAACCTTCAAGAACTATAAAGGACAAAATAAAATTGCCACCGAATCTGCTAGATTTAAGTGTGCTTCTATTTGTGTCATACCTAAGTAATATAGACTTTGCTACCATGGGTGAAATGTTGCCGTAATAAATTTCTGTAAATGTTCTCATGCTTTTACAGTAAGACAGTGAGTAAAAACTAAATAGTTTCTTTAGAGGGGCAGATAAAAAATCTTGTGTTTTTTCAAATAAAAAATCTGCAGATCCTTAAAAACAGGTTATCTTTTCAAAAAAAACTATACAAGAGGGCTAAAGAGAAGTGAAGAAAAATAGATGTGATTTGGCTGAAGGGTGGGAGATCTTTGTTAAGTAACAGTAGATCAGAAAGAAGTGTCCTGGAATAGGAATTTAAAAACTATGATCTATTTGACTTGTAAGAGCTGGATTACATTATATTATCATATTTTGATTTATGTATTGTTTGTGTTGTATGCATCTGATTTATGCAAATCTAATTTAAATAATAGTCTACCCTTTGAGCCTGCTCACTTTGAGCTGATATTATAATGATGAGGAGAAGTTTGGATCCTTGAGATACATAAGTGCAATTTTCATAAAGAAGAAAAATAAACAGAAGCCATAAGGAAGACTCTGATGGATTTTTAAAAATACGTACATGCATTTTTTATTCCTCCCAACAGCAGGCAGAGCCTAATTCACATTCTCAATAATACAGACTAGACATACTGGCACAATTAAAAAAAAAATGAAGTAAAGCAAAGGTGGTATATTTGTCTTGAGATCACATCAAGAGAAGATAGTGGGTTTCAGCCTGGATCTCATCCTTTGTCATGAATCCTGCTCTTTGTCAGAGGTCACAAGGGAACACCACAGAGTTCACGCAGAAATGGAAATGAAAGGTAAACCTAAACAATGCAAACTTCATGTCTCAGCGTAGTCTTCATGAAGTTTAGGACGTTGTTGTAAGCGATGATACCAGCTGCCTAGTGCATCCCTGAAGCACTTGAGGCTTTAGGAATTTAGCCATGTCAGTACAATCATTTTTACACTATTAATTGAAGAAATGGGGACTACCTTTTAAAGATTTGTTAATATTGGAGAAAAAGAATTCAAAAGAAGCACAACTGGGATGTCTGTTTCTTTTAAAAAGTGTCACAAAATTGCTTTTATTTAAGCAGGACAACTACAATGGTGAAGGACCTTGAGTGTTTTTCTTGTCAAAATCCCATCATAAATGAGCACATGGGATAAGTCTGGTCCTCCAAAAAGTCAGAGTTACCTTGAGCAATCTCCCTAACTGTCACTACTGTCTCAGCTCTTCTCTTGTCCTTTGTGGTAATACTGCTTTGAGATTGCTTTGTCTTGAAGATCATTGCACTGAAGATATGCTTTATCTCTCATTTTAATTCTTTTTGGAACTCTTAAGCGTTTCAATAGCACTTCTTACAGTTCCTTGGAAATTGCTGTATCGGTCTGCAGCTGATTTGGGCACAGCACTTTCCAAATCCACTTAAGCAGAACACCTGCTCCATTTAAATTTTTCAGTCTGAAGTGGATCAGTTGGATCAATGGAGAGTCCAGAGTTTCTACTTTTATTCACTGTGCCACTTTGATTAGGGGATAGAGAAGATTGTTTTTTCCCTACAAGTTCTTTGGGTGGTTTGCTGCTATGAGCTCCATGGTCAGTATCACCTCATCCCTTCTTCAAACAAGTCATCCATTTGTAAATTGCTTTCTTTGAGGCATTGTCCTAATACCGTCTTATAAAGCATCATGGATTTCATTCTGCCATTCATGCTTTACCAGGAATTTGAGGTTTCTTCTTGCTTTAATTTTAGCAGAGTGCATGTTGCTCTTTTCAAACCGATGTGTTATCCATATTTGTGCCTCAAACAAAACCCTGTCCAGATATGTTAAAATAAGATTTCATAAGTTTACTTGGATGTAAAAATAAAAATTCTTCAAACCAGTACATATCTTTCTCATAATGTATTTCCCATTATCCTTTTTTTTTCTTGCTAAGACTCCTTTGTTTGATAACAACACCCAAACAGTCTTTTGGTAAAAATCCATAATTGGAAATCTTCTAAATGTCTCAGAAAAGCTACTTAAAAGCTACACATAGGTTTCAAAATTTTATGTACCAAACAAAGCTTATCTTTTAATTCCTTTTCTCCACAAATTTTTTTGATGTCCCTCAGACTTGACTACATAACCCTTTATTCAGACTGACAATTTGTGATGACAAAATAACCACATCCAACTCCGGCTTGTTCTCTCCTGACTTATCCTTATTTCATGAAACTCATTTTTTAGGAATCATTGTGTTAATTATTCATTTTTAGACAAGTTTTGAGCTACTACATTTTTAAGTTGTTTCGAAACTGTTGGCATTCACACTAGAATGATTACATCAATTATTATTATTAATGAATTGGAAAAGACTCATTGCTTTAAATCTACTCTACTTTTCCATCCCACAATATGTTAAGTATTTACCATGGCACATCGTGTCATGATTTCCTTTAGAGTAGGATTTTTTTCTAAAATGTTTTACTGTGTTCAACGATGAATATTTTATAGACAGTAAGTTAGTGCCACCATCCTAGGTGGGAACCGTTTTTCTGTCATAGCTGTTTATTCAGTTTCAAGTTTGTGAATATTACGGAATGATCCTGATGGCTTTGCTTTGTCTTGCGCTTTGATCGATCAGCAGTCGGCTTGTGGAATCCGCTAGAACTGTGTCACTTTGATGAGGCTGTTTTCCTGATTGGTTTTTCTCCTGAGACAGACACAAAGCAAACCACGACTAAGCACAAACATGGAGGGCCACGGGGAAAACAGGCAGTCCCTGCACTCTTTGCTGACGGGACGCCAGCTTTGGTAAGAACTGGGACCCACCCGCCCACATCCAAGCTCTACAGCGAATCTTGTGATGTCAGAGACAAGCTCGAAGTCAGGAGCTGAGAAGGCGTCACCGAGTGCCCATGCTCACGCTAGGACATCCTTCCAGTCTCCAAAGGGGTCTTTGGAAATATCAAAGCCCGCAAGAGATTTACAATCCTACCCAATCTTTTATCATTTTTTAAATGTTCCTTTATTGTACCTTTCTTGTCTTTTGCAAACTTGTTCATTCCCGGGGAGAACCACAAGGACTCAATCTCATAGGCAACGTAATAGGACTTTATCCCTTAGGTACACTGCCATTTCGGAGAGTGACTACAGCTTAGTAGTTAGCCACGTCCCCGACCCACGCCCCCGCCCGCGTTTTTTTTAAATGATTAATATATACTTAAATAGCATCTTCCCAACAATCTTGGAACCACAGGATTCCAGCGACTGGGGCAACCTCTTGTGTGAATGTGTATGCTATACTACAGAAGGGAAGACAGAAAAAACTCCATTTCAGCTCTTTTCTGCTAAACCTAGAGGTGCACAGCAGCAGGGGAGAGCTGAGATCACTGAGGGGTGACTTAATGCAGCCTGGTGCTTTGTCTTTTTCGTCACAAGCTCCTGGCACGCAGATGCTCTCAGCACAGCTACCAGATTCACTCACTCATTCTCCAGATCCTGGATGGAGTCAGGTAGGGGCTGGTTCTTGGTCTCAGGAAGCAGCAGCACAGCAAGGCCAGAGAGGATGGAGCAGACTCCATAGATGATCCAGGGCAAGGGCACATAGTAAATCCTTACAATCATGATCAGAGGAGCCAGGGCAGCCCCGATACTACCGGCGATTGTGATAATTCCTAAGGCTGTTGCTCTTGGAACACAACACAAAAGCAATTCAGTCAAAATATATTCCTATGTACTGTGGTTTGTTATTTGATCATGTTTAGACACATGCAAGTTGACAATCCAAAACATTCAGATCATTGCTGCAAGACTCCTGTTATTTTATTGAGTATCTTTGTGTTTTATGGATACTTTAAATATACAAGACTAATATTTTTATATCTTGTCATGTTCACTTGATAGCTTTAGATATTTATCCAAATCACTTAAAAATGCATCCTCTTCTTTGCTAATTATTTTCAAGTCTATTAGTGCATTCAGATATGTTCTATTTTAAAATATTATAGGCAAAAAAGGCAGTTTTCAGAAAACTTGAGCTTAATTAGGATTCATACTATTGTAACTGATAACTTCTAAGTGAGAATTTTGGTAACTTACAAGTCTTAGTTTCCATTCCCCACACAAGTCCCAACTAGCTGGAAAGATCCATGTGTAACCCTGACAGATTTTCCGTACGTTTCTACCTGATTGCTGTGGGAAGAAGTTCGTTTCCATGGGTAACACAACTGCTGGTAGCTGCACTGGAAAGTCCTCCTCCGAAAGCTGACAAAGCCATACGCAGGGTCTCCATGTCTTGAAAAGAGACCAGTGAAATTCAGAAAATCAACGCCCTACAAGCTTTACAGCCCCCCAATTCCAGTCGTACACACCCTGCAGCTTGTAGAGTAAATACAGATCCGAGTGTTTGTGGTGTAAAACGCAAGGACCAATAGCTGTGTGATTTCTCTACCTGCTGTGACTGATATATTTAAATAAAGCAGCTTGATTGATTCCATGATTTATCCCTGCACAACAGAGACTTGCCAAACCGGGGGAAGACTACGAGAGCAGCAGGATCTTGCTCTCATTTTTCCTTCTTGAGCCTTCGGTTTCTTCGTGGGGAAGGACTGCCATAGAGGAAAAATTACTAAGGGCTAACAGGCTCATACACGTCCCAGAGGAGCTGAGCAACGAAGTGCAAGTACGACATTGACAAGAAAATGCTGTTGTAGGAGAGAGTGAAAAGTCAAGAGGATGTAGAGGACCAGTTCAAGAGAATGTTGATCTAGCATAGGAAGGGATCAAAAATTCGGACCTCCATTTGGGATTTTTCTTTTCAAACTTTGTAAAACATGATGGGGATTTCAGAGTCTACTTCCAATGCAATTAAAAAACAACTCTTCTGGGAGATTTAGGACTTCAGAGTTCTGTTGCAAGGCAGCAAGCATGAGGACATCCAGGAGCAGGGGCGCTCCTGTGGAATGCACTGCTTCTCGGGGATGTAGTTGAAGTGTACAGGATACAGTAGCTACTTATGCCCTAGAATGCACGACCATACAGTCATGCCATGTGGAATGCATCCTGTGATTTAGGTGAGGTATGGTGACAACCCTATTTCCCCAATTCATTACATAGGATCATTCATTCTGTAAACTTGATTCTAAAAGTTATAATCACTTAACACTTTTTATTCTGGACACTTTACTGTGTGTTGATAAGGAAATTTAATTTCTTTTTCTTTTTTTTTTAAAGATTTATTTATTTATTGGAAAGTCAGATATACAGAGAGGAGGAGAGACAGAGAGGAAGATCTTCCGTCCAAACATTCACTCCCCAAGTGAGTGCAACGGCAGATGCTATGCCTATCCGAAGCCAGGAGCCAGGAACTTCTTCCAGGTATCCCACACGGTTGCAGGGTCCCAAAACCTTGGGCCATCCTCAACTGCTTTCCCAGGCCACAAGCAGGGAGCTGGATGGGAAGTGGGGCTACCGGGATTAGAACAGGTGCCCATATGGGATCCCGGGCACATTCAAGGCGAGGACTTTAGCTGCTAGGCCACGCCGCCGGGCCCAGGAAGTTTTATTTCTTGAATTCGACTCTTGCAAATCAAGGTGCAGTGCATGACCCACAAATGGACACATGCAGATGGAGGAGTGTATTGTCTCCAAAGCTGGAATACCATGAAAGAGGAACTGAAAATATTGTTTCCTACATGGGATGAGTCATACTTAGTAGGTACAATCATGTCATGTATATTGACAAGTTTGCTTAGTGAAAAGTCAAGCGGAAAGTCTCTGTCTACCAGCAGGGTCCCAGATTCAACAGCACCAGTGTACAGGTCCTTCTCGGATGTGGGGAAGGTAGCCATATGTTCACACCGATTTTACTGATTTTGAATTCTTTTACCAGCAACTCAATGGCACAATCAGTGCTGAATTTTCAGGTTAGGAAATCTTCACAACTCAACTACCTTGTTCCTTCTTGTTCCAGACAGGTACAGCCAGTGTGGCAACTGAGTGAAGTAAGGGTGGTGGGCCCAGCACCATAGTGCAGTGGTTAAGGTCCTTGCCGTGCATGTGCCAGGATCCCATATGGTCGCCGGTTCTAATCTTGGTGGCCCCGCTTCTCATCCAACTCCCTGCTTGTGGCCTGGGAAAGCAGCTGAGGATGGCCCAAAGCCTTGGGACCCTGCACCCCCATGGGAGACCTGGAGGAAGCTCCTAGCTCCTGGCTTTGGATTGGGTCAGCTCCAGCCATTGCGGTCACTTGGGGAGTAAACCATTGGAAAGAAAATCGAAGATCTTCCTCTCTGTCTCTCCTCTTCTCTGTATATCCACCTTTCCAATAAAAATAATAAATAAATCTTAAAAAAAAAAAAAGAAAGTAGGGGTGGAGAGAATAATTTCTTCTTCCTGCTTGTTTTATTCTCTTACCTTGGGGCATGATTGTGAGGGACAGAATGGAGATCCCCAGAGTGAAGCAGAACATGGCCTGGCTTCCCCGACGGCCTAAGTGGTTCAGTGCCAGCAGTGCCACAAAGTTACCCAGGAGGTTGGCTATCCCAAAGAAGCCCTGCAACAGGAAAATATTGCTCCCAAAATGCTGCAGGTGGACATTTAGGCCAATAAAGACCATGATGTTTGAAAATCTGTAGTGAACAAAAGAAGAAAGATGTATGTCACAAAACCTAGAGCCTGTGTTCTACAAATACCAACATTTCAGTCCAGGCGGTCACTTCTTGGGGTGAAAGTATAAAGGTGCTACTTGTGTTGTAGAAAAAAAATAATTGAATGGCCATTATTTTTAAATCATCAGAAGATATTGTAGAATGAGAAAAGTCCTAATTCTTGTTAAGGTTTTTTTTTTTTTTGAGGGTGGAAGTATGATAATGGATGTTATGTGGTAGAGCCTTCTAGAATTCTAGATTTTCTACATTTTTCTACATTTTGACCTGTATATTTGTAAATATTCATGGGGCAGCATGCTGTATTTATTTAAAGTTTGTGACATGACATTCTGTGAGATGAACATATTGAGACATAATCGCTAGTGTCCTTTACTGTAATTTTGCCCCCGTTAAGAAGGAAACAAATCCCCCTAAAGTTAAAATATATATAATTATAAAGTTAACGTGGTCAGTTTCTTGTAATATCTCTAGTAGAGCTATGTGAAAACAAAGTTCCCCATCCTGTACTTACTTGGTTCCATGTCAGTTTTACATCCCTTTGCTCATCTCCAAACATGTACGATCTTCACAGCGTTCTTACCTTTTCTCCCCAAGTCTGTCCCAACCACTTGTTGCACCCATTGAAATAACAGCTTTCATGTTCCTCAGGCACTCTGTGACGCCTACCTCACAAAGGACAAGAGTATGATCCGTTTCCGCAGGATGGGTTTTTGGAATGAGTCACACACAGAAGGTTTTATCTGTGCAGCCACCAGCTCCTCCTTCATGGTGGATCTCACGACCTTCAACAACATCAACAACACACTACTCAGTTTTTACAAAGAGTGGGCCAGGATGGGAGCACAGGGCATGACTAGGGCACCCATAGGACATGAGATCTGCTCTCTTGCTTTCTGGTAGGAAATGCAAACATTAGAGATGCATTGACAAGTGCAAAAGTGGTAGAAAGCTAAAAGAAACATCAGAGTATTTAGGCAGTGATAGCCCAAGACTGGAAAGCACTGTAGGGCTGGAGATTCAGGTGGGGGATGGGATGCACCTGGGAAGTACACTTGTATTAGGGTCCGAAGTCCATTCGGACCTGGTCCCTGTGCTTAGTTCTCAGATGGCTATTTGCTGTGTAAAGAAAAGCAAGTTACATTGTGAAATCTGATTTCGATTCTTCTGTTAGCCTCTGTCAGGAAAATTCTAGCGTATCCTCTTTCCATGAGTGAGAAACCGACAATGATGCCTAGGCAAGCGTGTGGAGGGGAGATATTGGAGTGGCATCCTCTGCTGCCAGGCTTGATCATGATCAAATGTTAGCTCTGCATTTGCCGGGCATATGCCTTGAGGGAAGTTCTCAAATACCTGTAAGCATCTATTATCTTGCCTTATTTCTTTTTAAAATATTTATTTATTTGTTTGAAAGACCAAGTTACTTCGAGAGAGAAACAGCAAGAAAGGGAGATACAGAGACAGTAAGAGACAGTAAAGTGAAGAGAGGGAAGGAGATGGAGAAGGAAAATCTTCTTGTGTACTGGTTTACTCCGCAAATGACCACAATGACTAGGACTGTACATGGGCAAAGGCAGAGGCCAGGAACTTTTCATCTGGATCTCCCACGTGGGTGGCAGGGACCCACACACTGGGTCCATTTTCTTTTGCCTCCCCAGGTATATTAGCATGGAGCTGGATCAGAAGCGCAACAGCTGGCGCTCAAATTGGCGAACATACGGCATGCAAGTGTCACAGCAGCTGCTTACCTTGTTGGTCTTCATAATTTTGTTTTTAAAAAGAAGGGCTAAAAATAGAAGGGTCGAAAACTGGAGAAGTTGACAGAGAAAACAAATAACACCTCTGTCAGAAGAATTTGCTAGTCCATCAGCAAGGACCCCTCAGTGCCACTCTGGACCCCTTTCGTGTTCCTTGTATCCACAGTGGAAACTGAATATTACCAGCACTGTTTGAAATCTTCTAGAGTCAGCTCAAAATTATGTACTTTGAACTAGACTGCATATAGATGAAATGGTCATTTTTTTTTCCCATGGAGTTATTGTTTATAGTCTGTATTTCCACAAACCAAGGTCTTTTTGTTTTTGTTTTTGTTTTTTTTTTTTACCTTTTACTAATCCTTATCACTGTAAAGTTAAAAAAATTACCCCCAAAACTATAAAAAACATAAGGAAGAAGGAAAGAGGGTGGGAAAAAGGGAGAAGTGGGAAGGGGAAGGTAATATCATTAGAGTCCTAGAATTATATCTATATATCAGATTAAATCTGTTAACAATTAATTCAACTTAAAATTCCATTTAAATTTGTTAAGGGAGAATATTTCGTCTTATTTCGTCTTGATCACACTCAAATATTTAAAAAACTATTATTTTTTTCTCTTATTATTGTGAAACCACCTTGATATTGGGACCCTGACGTAATAATACAGTTATTCATGATTAAGCAATGTGCCTACTGTACTATAATTTTTCAATACTTAACATACTATGTGATGAACTATTTATGTTGCTATCTAATGGTTTACTTCTATGTAAATAATTTTTTCATGACATACAGTCCTATTGCTTTCTAAAGGAGAGGTCTGAGAAGAAGAGAAAGACTTTTGAAGCATGTCCACTCAGTTGTGGGCTTGGAACTTTTAATAAGTAAAATGTAAGCCTCTTAGGACAGAGGTTTGGACTGACACAATCACTTCTGTGGTGCCATGAGAAGAGTGCCAAGTATATCTTGAATGAAGGGTCATGAGGTGAGTGATTGGATACGTACATTTTCTTCTGTGCTATTTTCAGCATCATGAACCCATCCTTCCTAGCCCCCCTGAGGAAAAGGACCAAAGACTATTAAACAGCAAGGAGTGATTTGTTTGTGTTACTTTCTGTGACATAGAATGGGATTCGTGCGATTTTCACAATTAATACTAAGTGCCCACTCTCTCTGTAAGTGAATCACCCATGTCCGCTCTCTTTATTAACATGCATTCTCTTTCACTATATAAACGGTGAAATAGTAAGTGTCAATATGTATTGGGAATCAGGATAATGAAGCGAGGCACTCCCATGCCCAGTCCCGAACTCCCACCCTTATTCACCTGCTGAATACTGACTAGTGTGTATTTCAGGTAATGTTTCTCCTACACTCCGTTACCAGTTCCCTTCCTGGTTCACCTCTATGGTTAAGGTGTCTTCCACGTTCTTCCCATTCCTGCGTGCAGTTTCCCTGAGCTCCTTCAGGCCCTTCTCTGGTTTGTTGGTAATAATCAGCCAGCGAGCAGATTCTGCCAGCCACCTGTCCAAGAACAGGAGAAACATGCAGCCAGTTTTTGCTTCATCATTTTCCCCTGATCAATATCCCGAGACAGCTTCCCTTTCCTGTGAAATGCCCGTCACTAGTTAGGTTATATGTAGAGGCATAAATACATTGTCTCTTGCAACATTACTAGGGAATTACAAGAATGACCTCACCACTTATTGAACTTTCTTTGCAGATGTTACAGAACAGGATTCATTTGTCCTTGTCTTATCCAAGGATTTTTTGTTGTTGTTTTAGCAAATAAAAATGCACTCTGCTTAGGTAAATATTTACATAAGTAAATAATGAATAATTCCTAAATAAACTACATATCAGGCAATGTTTTTGTTGTATTTACACTAATCACCACGTATTTGAAATTTGGACTTGGTAATTAAGCATAAAATTAAAAGACACTTGGATACATAGAAAATTTCATGCACACAATGAATAACACTCAGTGTAGCTGTGGTTCAGGCAACATATGGAGTAGCATATGGAATATATTTGTCTTTTATCTGACAAGCAAATGTAAATCTGTATTCTTAATGTTATCTGACAACTGTATCTGTTACGCTTCCCAAATTGGACACAGAGAATAGATTAGTATAGCACATGCTCAAATGTTGACCAAGGACATAGCAATTCACATGTACACAAATTCCACATGTATTGCCTATACCTTGCACCTCCACATCCTCTAATATAAAAAGTGAACAGGCGTATACCTTGAGGACAGAAAGAAGATGAGAAATGGCACAGAAAACACCATTTGGAGGATGTGCCACTCACGGATGAAAAAAGCCAGGCCACCCAGAGCTATCTGTCCAATACTGCCAGCACTGGTTACCAGTATAACTCCCATGGCTTGGAACTGGGGCAATGTCCATTCTAGAACTGAAAGAAAACACAAACAGGAGGACTTTGCTTTACACAAAAGTAGAATTTCAAGGGCAAAGGCAAAAGTTTGTAAAATATCCAAGATCCAAAATGTTGACTTACTGAGCAAAAAACTATTTGATATGATGACTGAGATAGCCACCCCAGACAAGAAGCGAAGTAAGCAGTAAATGAGGAAGGTGGGAGAAAAGGCTGTACAGGTGCCAGCGATGCCCAACAACAGGAGGCAGAATCTGAGCATTAACTTCCTCCCAAACCTGAGAAAGGAGAACAGGTTAGCAATTGGAAACCATAACCATACATAAAAGTTTTCGAAAAGTAAGCCTGCTTTGACATTTGGTGGGTTTTTAACAAGCAACTCTGCACTTCAAGTGTTAACAGATTATCAACGGCAGCTCTCAGAACAAGCCTTCTCCATTTGTAAGTAGACATCAAATATTTCAAACATTCTTTGCTAATGTGCTACCAGTAGATCTCGAAGATCAACTCAAACTACTGAAGATGGGCTGCAATGGTGGAAAATAGAACTCATCACAACTGTCTTCATATTAACAAGATCAGTTGGCATAATGCAGAGTCTGTACAGTGTCTAGAATGGGAGAATTCTGATATGGAATGAGTTGGCCTATTGAACACTGGTTTTCAAAGAGGTGGCGTGTGGAGAGGTTGTCTTTGGGAAATGAGCAGGCATAGACAGGAATAGAGGAGTAAGGGTTTCATCTGACATTGGTGCCCTTACAGGTAGAGATGACAAAGAGCTTGTTTGCAATCCCATTAACACCTCTATGTGAGGATGTAGGGAGAAATCTGCTACCTACAAACCAAAGAGAAAACCTTCAGTAGAAACCAAATTGGTCATGACCTTGATATTGGAATTCCCAGCCTCCTCTATTGTGAGAAGTCATTTCAAATCATCCAGCATGGAATTTTGCTATGGAAACCCTGGCTAAGTAACACAAGCTCTGAATCAGGAATTGGGACTCCGGGGCCACACAGGTCATGTCTAAATAGGTGTGAAAAGAATGGTGCATCACAGTTGCCAATGGGCTTGTTAACAGACCCTGTCTTCTGATTCTGAAATTACAGATCCTGCAGGTTATGTTTCCAGTAGAACAGGACGCAAGACAGCCTCCAACCATAGAGGTAGAAGTGGAAAGAATTGGGTAGGGTGAGCATGAAGAAACAGAGAAAAGATCTTGAAAAATACACATGTATCCATTGTTCCAGGGGTGCCTGGGAAAGTGGACACCTCCGCAGACAACTTGGACATGATGACATGTGCTATTTCTGCATGACCAGTAACCCAGTCCAATGAACAAAAATGGAGACTCAGAAAATGATTACACACTTGTCTGTTCTCAGAGCACAGTCACATGGTGGCACTGTTAAGTCTTGTGTAGTTTGAGCGTTTACCACACGTATGTCTAAGTTCTATGTTCATCTTTCAGTTCAGACTGGAATAGCGTCTATACAAACAAGGCTATGATGAGACTATAATAAAATCTCACAATATGAGAAATATGATAATTGCTCATGCTTTACATTAAAAAATTGTGTTGTGCACAATGTAAAGAGTATTTCCTCATTGACTATTAATGCACAATCTGACTAGATATTACACTCTGTTTTTCTTACAACCTGAAGGTATAACAGGATTCTGTTTCTGATTCTTTTAATCCAGTTGGATTCATTTAATGGCATTTCAACATGGGCTGCAGAATCACTTTCATGTGACTTCAGGTACATCTAGATAAATTCCCTTTTGGTTTTATCCATTCTTTCTAATGAAACTAGAAATGAATTGGACTCTTCACATTTGAAGGTTTTTTTTTAAGTTTATTTATTTATTTGGAAATGATAAAGAGAGAGCGAGGTAGAAATCTTCTATTCATTGGTTCACTCCCCAGTCAGGTGCTTCTTCCAGGACTCCCACATGGGTAGCAGGGGATCAAGCACTTGGTCCATCTTCTGCTACTTTTCCCCTACCATTAGCAGGGAGCTGGGTTGAAAGTAGAACAGCTGGGATTTGAATTGGAAAGATTATAGGGTGCTGGCACTGCAGGTGGTGCCCTCTGCATTATGTCACAACACAGCTCACAAATTTGCAGATTTCAAACACATAGAATGGAAGGAGCGTCTTCCCTGACCCCTGCTTAGAGGATGGTCAGCAAGGCTATCTAAACCTACTCTGGACTCCAGCAGTAGAGAACATCAACCTTTATTAAAGGAACCAACTGTGACCTGGAGCTGTTAACTCACACAGCAAGGTTATTATTAAGTTGTTATTATACTTGGTATAATAATATTATATTTAATAGCTTGAGAATATCTATGTGAGTTTATTTTAAATCATGTTCCCCAAATTTATTTGAAAAGGCTGTTCATTTGAAAAGAAAGTGTGAAGTGCATCTGTGAGCATCTAAAGATGTTACAAACTTACATAGACCTACATTCCAATCCTATTTAAAACATACACTGGTGAATATATAAACATATCTACATATCAGCAAGAAAAACTATCTGTACTTGCAGACTGTATGGCTATGTAGAAGACTTGAAGGAATCCATAATAACATGACTGGAACTAATGAGTGAATTTATTGAGGTGGCAAGATAAAGGCTCAATATAGAAGTCAGTTTCATTTCATATAGCAATAATTACTAATCAGAAATTAAAGTTACAATAAATTTATTACCTCAACGATTAGTTAAGTAGGAATAAATTTGATGACTTAGAAGCCAGAGAACGTTACAAGAACAATTAAATTTAGTGAAAATGGCGTAATACTATTAGATTAGAATATTCAGTATTTTTCTAAATGAAAATCTTATCTGTTTTGGAATAAATAAGACGACACCCAAACTCATGTAGATCTGTAAACCCCTCAAAGTCTTGTGCTAACATTTCATGGATTAATGCTGATGTTGATGTATTAGTGTGGACTATTGATCTAATTACAGCACCGGAGAGGTAGGTCTGCTGGGAGGTATTTAGGTCATAGGGTACTAGCTAATTCAAAGCAATCCTCCTGGGAAGACTGGTTCCTCTCTCTCCCAGTCTCTGTCATTTTGCCTTTCAAAGACAATAAGTCTTTAAAAATGGCTTGATACTCACATTACTATGCAGAGTAGTTTATTCTCCCCCTAGGCTGTGTCAAAAACCCACTAACAGAATAGTTTCAGTTTTATCTAAATTTATGCATTCTATAATGAGAGTAATTCTAGATGATTTTTAGTTCCAGGTATTATGCAATGTTACCTATGTTATTTTAAACATGTTCATTTCATCAACTTCATCATGTCCCTCTGTTCACAATGTCATTCAGTACTCTCAGCTTTATGGCACATTTAAAAATACTTAAATGATCGTGACTCTGCAGATTCATTTAGTTCTTCATCACTAGCAAGTAGCAGGCTCCTCCAGTTCTCCATTTTTATCGCCTGTGACCAATCAGAATTTAACTATCTCACACAGTGCCAGGTTACTGAACTCTTAGAATGAAAACTCTTGTCTTTCACTCACAGCTCTAGACAACACAGTCCACAGCTAAGTGGCATAATGATGGAGAATGGTAAGGATCCCTTTAAGGTAGGAATCCATTTTTATTTCTCAGTGTTTACATGGCTGGTTAATGGTTGTCTGTTTGAGGAGACAAAATTCCCCCACTCTGTAACTCCACAACTGTGACATCCATTGTTAGATCAGTTTCTTTGCATGGTTGTGAAGTTTAACTCTAGGGACTGGTGTTGAGATGTGGCAGATAAGGCTCCTGTCTGTGACACCTGCAACCCCTATGGGTGCAGATTTGAATCCCAGATGGTCCATCACCACTCTAGCTTCCTGCCTGATGGCCTGAGGAAAGCAGCAGAGAATGGCCCAACTGCTTGGGCCCCTGCCACATACTTGGGGGACTCAAATGAAGGTCCTTCCTCCTAGTTTCAACCCGATCCAACACTGACTGCTGTGACCATCTTCGCGAGTCAACCAGCACATGGAAGATCTTTCTCCCTTTTTGTCTCCCTCTTTTTCTAACTCTGACTTTGAAAATAAATAAATAATGTTTAAAAGATTAAAATGGTTTTTGTGTTTTAACAATTAAGAATGCTGATAAAAGGTTTCAATGCTCCACCAGTGACACGTGAGTGTTATAAGAATGTCTGTTCAACAGACTCAGTCAACAAAGATGTGCTGAATATTCTCTGTTCCACAAGCATTCGGTACCTCGGATCCAGAAAGGGCTAATGCAGTAACTCTCGCCAATGCTAACAACACCATGTTCCTTCTGTGTGTGTCTTTGCTTAGGCTGAATCCCAAGAATTGCAACATAATCCTCATGTCTCTAAACCACATGCTCTGGTACCTTTTTAAAACACTCTCTTAAAATACCACCATGTCTTATGAAAATGTCATTTTGTGTCCCATGGTTCTCAGAACACAAACCTCAGAAAACTGCCCTCACTACAATTGACAGTAGTTTTTCAGTTGTGCTTGCAGGTGTCTGGAGAGTAAGTTCTCCCCAGGACAGCATGATTTGCCAAAAACATTTTATTGTTGATGAACAATTCAGAAATTGCATTCTAACAAAGAGAATGGTGAAGCAGTCACTCACTTATCTGTTAAATGGCCGCAGAAGACGCCTCCCAGGAGCATCCCCGTCATGACAGAGAATCGGACCACTGAGTTTAGTGATTCTGACGCACACACCAGGTCCCACTAGAAGAGAAGGAACCAGCACAGCAGAATTCACAGGACCTCAATATGGCCAGATCAAAGCCCTTTTAACAAGAACGCAAGCTTCAGGATGTCAAGTGCCTATCGTCTTGTCTAGCATTCCTTTTCTATAGTTACTGAATTTTGCCACTTAGACACAGCTCAAACATAGTTTTCTTGAGGCATCCTGTCTAAAGCTGCAGATTATATTAATGACCTCATATTAACTTGTTCTCACAGGTGTTCACAACGTGCAATCATTTGAGGATATTTATGAACTTACTGAATTTTCCACATGTCACTATAGGCCTCCTTTGTATAGACCACTATGACTGTTCTGGGGATAGGATTCTGAGAGTGAAGATTTTGATCAATTTCCAAGATATTTTTCATTCAAGATCAAGGCTGAGCTTTCTTTAATACATCATTTACAAAAAATATAGGACTTGCTGAAATTGTGACAGGAAGCACGTGATGGCACAGTCATATCTACTTTTGACTTTATTAGACTCATCGAACATACTGAACATTAAACATATAGAACATTAAACATATATGACCTTTAATATAGAAGCGATGGCTGGCTGAATAAATGAACAATGAGTACCTACATGATATTCAAAGGCTTGAAGTATACTCATAACGTGTGTTATTTGTAAGTACCCAGGTCACATACTCATTAGAGAAAAATGGGTTCTCTTACTTTTGTCACGATGGTAGAGTAGAAGGAGCTTTGGTCATACACCCAGCCATCCATACAGGGTTCTGTGTCAGATTCACTTATAGTGAGGAAGGTCCCGTTCAGATGCAGGAGCTGCCGCTGTGGATGAATGAAGCGATGGCATTTTTCTGGCGTCAGGTCTGAGTCTAGCGGGATAGAAGCTCTTAGGAGAGCTTCTTGACTGAGGAGCTCTGTGTCATTGTCAGAGACAGCGTGATTGTCAAGGAGGGGGACCCAACAGCGATGCTCAGGAATGGCTCCAGTGAAGTTCTCCAATTGCAGATGTGGATAAGCGAAAAGGGTTGCAATGACAAAGAAAACAGTCTGAAGGATCTGAAATCTCCCCAGTCCACCGACTAGATCCAAGAGATCAAGAAAGGCCATGGAGGCACAACCAATGATCCCTGAGAATTGGGACACTGGCTCCCAGGGGGGAAAAGAATCCAACAGATAGTGTCTTTTTACCAGGTGATTCTAGCCCTGCGAAGGGAAACGGATCTGCACATGATTTTGGGCTGAGCTAAGTTATTGTGTGAATTCAAGTCAAAAAGAGATGTTTTGATTGGATAATTACAACTGTACACACATCTGTTTAAATTTCTACTTTGTGAAAATCCGTGTCAACAGTGCCCAAAGCTAGCATTGGACTTTGTCCTGCACATCCTTGTATAAACAAAACCAATGTGCTACAAGATATACTGTCCTTTTTAGACAGTCCTGTGGGAAATGCTGAATGTACTTTACTAACTGTAGTAGTGAATTCTGACTTAGGGAGCAAGAGAAAACCATCATGAATTAATTTCAAGCATCAAAACATGGCACAATCTTTTCTTTTTGCCAAATGACATTTCGCTCCAGATAAATGTATCCGTGAAACTCTCAAGTGACTCATAATGAGATGATGAAGGTGGTGATGGAGTCCAGTGGTACCCACAGTCTGATGTGTTTTCTTTTGCTTGTGTATTTATTCAGGGTGATCCAGGAACACTCCAAATGAAATGAAAAGGTAAGTTTATTTTAGTACCAAAAAATCCTAACCTGATAAATTTTCTTAGGATATGTTTTTTTTTTTTCATGAACTTTTTTGGAGACCCCCTTATAAGTATAGATCTAAAACCTTGTTTTGCACTCAAATAAGTTTAGCTTTGAATTCCATTTTCCATTAACTTTTTGGCATCCCTCTGCATTCAAGGACCTTGGTAGAGTGAGTGGTAAGGCAAGAATGTGATTTGACTTCTGAACCCACGCAAGACTTTGAGTCTCCATGTCAATACATTAATAGTATTAGAAGGGTAATAGTATTAGAAGGGTAGGAATTTGTTCACTCAATTGCATCCCATATGTCTCTTAAGTTTCCTTCATGAATACGTTAAGCCATTCATGAGATTAATGGATCAATGTGTTATGGGTTATGACTAGAGTAAATCTGCCATAAAAGTCAATTTTATAACAGGTGGATTAGGTCTTTTGTGTACTCTTTCACATCATCATATACTCTGTGTTGCTTCAGGACTCAGCTCTCTTAAGAAGGCAGTGCTGATGCTAACCCTTGACTTTCGAACACAGCGATGAGCTAAACCAAGCCCATGTTATTTTTAACTTGCCATGTCATGTGGTATTGTGTTATTAAGAGCAGGAAATGGACAAAGACAGAAACTCTTTTTTTTTAAAGATTTATTTTTATTATTTTTTCATTGGAAAGGCGGATATACAGAGAGGAGAGACAGAGAGGAAGATCTTCCGTCCGATGATTCACTCCCCAAGTGAGCGCAACGGGCCGATACTATGCCGATCCGAAGCCAGGAGCCTCTTCTGGGTCTCCCACGCGGGTGCAGGTTCCCAAAGCTTTGGGCCGTCCTCGACTGCTTTCCCAGGCCACAGGCAGGGAGCTGGAAGGGAAGCGGGGCTGCCGGGATTAGAACTGGCACCCATATGGGATCCCGGGTGTGCAAGGCGAGGACCTTTAACCACTTGCGCCACCGCGCCGGGCCCAACAGAAACTTTTAACACTGAAAATGGACATCACTAATAACTAAACCAAGAGATTTCCAGAAAAATTGATAGTGACTACCAAATAGTGAGGCTTGGCTGTGCAAAGTGAAAAATGATGAGTACGTTGGGCTAAGCCCAAACCAGTCCTCTGCTAGCACAAGTCTGTGATCACATTGCTTAGCTAGTTGTCTCTGTAGCCTTAGCACATGTTCAAACACTCAACAAACCTTGGGGCCTGGAGGCCTGGCAAGGAGCATGTTTCTACAGTTTGTTTCTATGAGGGAACATCAATACAGCTTCATTTCCTGAATCTAAGACAATCACTTTGTCTGAGAATCTAATTATGCTAACAGGTAAAGTGTTATCATCCTAGTATAGCTGCAAGAAAATCGTTAGTAAATGGACATACAAGTTAAGGAACAAAAATAAAAGAATGAAAATATTCACAGAGGAAGAGAATAAAAGATCTGCAGAGCAATCAGAAGACATTTAACAAAATGGCATTGTTAAGTTCTTATCTATCAAAAACTACTGCAACACAAAAAAAGGAAAAACAATGTAAATTCACAGCTCACATTTACTCAATAGTAACAAGTCATCCTTTGGGGTGAGGGGGAGTTAAGAATGACCACTCTTGCTACATCAAGTCCTTCACAGAACAATTAGATGGGGAAGAAATCGGAAAGAAGTCCTTATCACATTATTTCATTTATGAAAAAGCCAAAACAGATCGTAAAAATTGCTGCAACCAATGACTGAATTCAGGAATGCTGCAAGATATCAAACTAATACAGAACTAGTAACGTATCTCTACACACATAATGCCCCAAACAGCAACAAAAGAAGCAGTTTTATTTATAATGCATGAAAACAGAGTGCTTAGGAACAAATTTAAACAGGGAGATGAAAGACTTATACCAGAAAAAAATTAGAATATTGTTGAAATAGATTGAACTGGATTTACATAAATGGAAAGAACCAACATTAATGCATTGAAAGAACTAATTTCATGAAAATATCTCTGTGATCCATAGTGATCTATGGACCTAAAGGATTATCAAAATTCCAATGACATTTTTATACAGAAATATTCTAAAAATTTCTAAAATCTGTATAGAACCATAACAGACTACAAAGAACCGAAGCAATATTAATCAACAATAACAAAACCAGAGAAATTGCATTGCCCAGTGTTATGCCACAAAGCTAAAGGAATCAAAGTAACACAACACTGACAAAAGCTGAGTCAAAGACCAATGAAACAAAATAAAGAACTTGGAAGTAAAGCCAGATGTTCAGTCGAGTAATTTTTGACAAAATATCAAAAGTGTACAGTAGAGAAAATCTATTGAACAAGCTGTGTTGGGTAAACAGAATGTCCACATGGAAAAGAAAGATATTAGGCACTCTTTTCACACCACATACAAACTCCATGCAAAACGGATGAAAAGTTTACACATAAGAACTTAATAAAATTACTAGAAGAAAACAGGGGGATCTCCCATAACCTCAAAAACAAAACCACAAAAATAAAAATTGAAAAGCTGGAATACACCAAATTACAAAGCTTATGCATGTGAAAGGAAACGATGAATAATGTGAAGAGAACCTACAAAAAAAGAAGAGAATATTTGCTGCCTCACATCTAGCAAGGTGTTAATAAGAAACTCAAGCAAAACAACCCAGTTGAAATTGGGCAAAGCACTTCAAAGGACATTTCTCAAAGAAGCCATAAAAATGGCCAGCAGATAGGCACAAAAATTTTCAACACCACTAGTAACCAGAGAAAAACAGAGGAAAACTGCCTCACACCTGTTTGAAAAAGCCGTTATCAAAAACACAAGCGATGGAAGGTGTCACTAGGTTAAAAGAAAACTCTTCTAACACCATAGGTGGGAATGTGAATAAGTTGAGCCATGACAGAAAACATTACGGCAACTCCTCAACTAATTCACTGCAGAAATACCATGTTATCTAACAAGCCCTCTACTAGATGGCTGCGCAAAGTAATCAGCATGTCAGAGCGGCACCTAATCCCACGTGCTCAACAATATCATTGCCAATAGTCTGGGAAATGGATATACATGGTCAGTGTTTCAGTCCAGTGTACAACATGGTGAATGCAGTCATGTACAAGTCATGCATATTTTCAAATTGCCAAAAGGTGGAATGTAAATATGATTACCAGTAAAAAAATGTCAAGAATATGAGGTGTTGAATATGTTCTACCATGTATACATATAGCATTAACAAGCTGCACCCTGTTTGTATGCATAATTAAAGTCAACTTAAAATAATTAACAATGAAACATACTTTCTTCAACTGTAACAGTATAGCATTTTCTAAAAGATTTATTTACACTTACTAGAAAGGCAGATTTACAAAAAAAAAAAAAAAAAAGATTTCCGTCTGCTCGTTGACTCTGCTCTGATTCACTCCCAAGGTGCCAGCAACAGCTCGAGCCAAGCTGATCTGAAGCCAGGAGCCAGGAGTTTCCTCTGGGTCTCCCACATGGGTCCAGGGTCCCAAAGTTTTCGGCCATCTTCTGCTGCTTTCCCAGGCCACAAGTAGGGAGCTGGATGGGCAGCGGAGCAGCCAGGACACAAACCCAAGCTCATATGGGATCCTGGTGAATGCAAGGTGAGGATTTAGCCACTCAACCATCACCAGACCTAGCAGAACATTTTCTAATCTGGCTTTCCATGTCTCAGTTTCGACACAGTACTCCTGCTCTGATGGTGTTGCCTCAAGTCCACCAGTGTCCATCGCTGGGCCCTTTGTCCTGTTTTCCTTTCTTGTATACTTTCTTCGCTGGTTTTCCTAGCTACCATGACTATCAGGGCGGGACTAGGCTCAGTGGATAATACTTTTCACCATCTGCATTGAATTTCCATTTTATTCTCAAGTAGAGTCTTATGTATGGGTTTCATTTGAAGGCAGAGTGGATGGTATCCAGAGTAAAATCCATGGCATTGAAGTTGGTAGCTCTTACACTAGAATCAGTCAGATAACCCAGAGATACCTGGATTTTGCCATTCAAGACTGGCATATCTGCTAGTGCAAGGTGTCTGTAGCTTCCTTCTGTCCTTAGGGTATGGGCACATTTTATTTTTGAGCTTTTTCTTTTTCTGAAAACAAATTGTTTTAATTTTTTGAATTTTGGGGTTAATATGAAATACACGTACACTTTATGGGGAAAAATGGGACATTTCCACAGATGTATGGGAATGGAAACCCCTTACACCAGACAGCCAATTATACAGATAACACTAACTGCTAACCTTCTCAGGGGGAAGTTTTGTTTGTCTGTTTGCTTGTTTAATATTTACATATACTTATTGAACAGGCAGATTCACTGAGAGAAGGGGATATAGAGAGAAAGATTTTTGGT